CACTGTCAGGAATAAGAAAGGCGCGATTTTTTCGAACCAGGCGCGACCTGACACCTCTGTTAAGGGGAAACTGCAGCCTACACTAATGCACCGTAAGCTCGCTTTTTCTCTTCAACCGTTCAGATGCATTTCAATGGCTGCGATTTATTCTTATATAATGTTCTCACATAAGCGTTCTCACCTAATCCGAGTTGTTCCATAGGTACCCGAATATATGACTCTTTTGTTTGGAGATTGTGAGACTTTTTACTGCTGGGGTTCCTGACTTCTAGGCCTAGCTAAGCTGAACAAGTCAAAGCCCAAACCAACTTGAGTGGGCTTGAAGGATATATTTGGGTTTTAAGTATCTAATATCTCCTCATTTTAAAGGTTATATCTTCTTTTTTTCTTCTGCTGATAAAATTTTAGAGATAATCTTGATAAATTTTTTAGCTCAATGATTGCATTATCACATGGAGTTATTAATCTACGTAGGATGATGAGATTGATATGTCATAGACTTAGATATAATATTAATAAATAAATATACTTGTTATAATATGAGTAAATTATAACACCATACCGTCACACCAAACACTTCTTATTTTTAACCATTTGTCCATGGATGTAGGCTCAAATGTTCTATATGTTTTTTTTTATACGACTTTTTATTTATTCAACAACACAACAAATTTTCCTATAATGGGCTGCAATAAACTAGCTTAATTTGTCCAACATAATCAATGATATGGTCAAATAAAAGTTTGCTAATATTGTATTTTTTTCCCCACTCATCTCAAAGAAAAGAAGAAAAACTGTTGACTGGAAAAGTTTGTGGAACACTAGCACAATCACAGGTGCTAAAATGGGAGAGGGGCTCATGGTTTTTGCCCACCACGTTCAGTTGCGATCTTAATGTTTTGGAGTCCATAAATGAATGACTAAAATGTGGCTTTCTATTCTCTATAGTTATGTGAAATATTTTTTCTCGGTAAGTTTAAAAAATTGTATGAACTTAAAGTTACAATTGTAACCTAAAAAGAAATAAACAATATGTAATTCACATAATAATTTTATAAAATGCATCAAAACATCACTTAAATATCACTCTTCTTGCATTTTTCGATGCAAAAATATCAATTAACTTTACATAATCAAATACGTCAACATGTCTTTTTTTGCCAGCACATCTCAAAGAAAAGAAGAAAAACTGTTGACTGGAAAAGTTTGTGGAACACTAGCACAATCACAGGTGCTAAAATGGGAGAGGGGCTCATGGTTTTTGCCCACCACGTTCAGTTGCGATCTTAATGTTTTGGAGTCCATAAATGAATGACTAAAATGTGGCTTTCTATTCTCTATAGTTATGTGAAATATTTTTTCTCGGTAAGTTTAAAAAATTGTATGAACTTAAAGTTACAATTGTAACCTAAAAAGAAATAAACAATATGTAATTCACATAATAATTTTATAAAATGCATCAAAACATCACTTAAATATCACTCTTCTTGCATTTTTCGATGCAAAAATATCAATTAACTTTACATAATCAAATACGTCAACATGTCTTTTTTTCCCAGCACATCTCAAAGAAAAGAAGAAAAACTGTTGACTGGAAAAGTTTGTGGAACACTAGCAGAATCACAGGCGCTAAAATGGGAGGGGGGCTCATGGTTTTCCTACCACGTCATGCTCTCATTTAATAGGTTTGCCATCCAAAGCATTACTCTAGCCTTGCCTTAATTATTGTCATGACGTTGCTCCGTAGATCGCATCGCGTACACCCTGTCAAGTCGGCACACAATGACAACGGTTGCTGCGACTTTTAATAAATCTTTAAACTTCAATCACTCTCCCACATTTCTTTGCACAATTTTAGAGCATTTACAATGATGAGAGTTATTTCAATTTTATTTCAATAAATTTAACTTTTAACTTGTAGTAGTAAGTTCAGTTCATTTTAGATATTAATATTTTTTTTTGAGGATTAATAGTTCATTTCAGAGATCAATAAAATGAACTCTGAATTAACACCTGTAAACAAAAGAAAAAAAAAGACGTAACAAAGTATTTTAACAACACCAGAAGCTAAATTAAAATAGAGAAAACCAATATTGAGCAAAATAATGTAGCAGCTAATTAGTGGTATTTTCTTTATTGTTAAACTAATTGAACTTTGTTGATTAAATTTAATCTAATTTCTTTTTCCTCCTTTTGATGATGGCTAAGAACTAAATGAAGAAATGGTCCCCCACTGCCCATTTTGGCATATTGATATATTTTGTACAAGAGTTCAATAGTTAAAGAAACTCCACTACAATTTGTGGAGGATTAACAATGCATGCTAAAAGGTACAAACTATAAGACTTCTAGAACTCATAAGAATTGCATCATGGCAATAAGTTAAAGCATAAGGTTTCTGATAACCTATTTTTGAAGTTAAACCATAATTTTTCGCACCATTGTCTTGGGTTATTGTATATTATTTTTACTATAATTAGTATTATTATGGGCCAGAAAGGCAGAAGCCCACTAAATATGAAGCTCAAACCAATCAAAATTAATATTTAGATTATATGGGCTTTTTCTCAGGTCACAATTTAGAAGCCCAACAAAGCTGACAACCGAGTCTAAGATAACGTTTTGTTCACGTGTGCTTTGAAGTTCGGAGGCCTATAAAAAATGAGCAGTCTAATAGCGTAGTATTTCTGAAATCGACGATTCGAATTACATTAATTTTTCAAAGTGAAATAGTGGGACTTCGATGGGTCCGATGTGGACCACTTTGGCTTATATGGTGAGTTATATAAACTCAAACAACACTACCTCATATTAATTTACAGTTTTATTTTCCTATTAAGACATTATGAGTGACTCTGCCTCTATCTTATAACTCGATCCCACTGTTTGCAGATAAGGTTCCGGCACGATCCTTCTAAGGACACTGGATTTGTTGGGTGTGCCTTGACAATTAACATAGTCCGGTCTTGAAGACAGAAGATGGCTCGTGGAGCCATGAGGCATCACACACAATATCTAATCCTGTTGTTGTACAAGCATTTCCATATTTATTACAATTTTCATGTCTCTGCATTTAGTTCTACATTTCTCTTTGATCTTATTATTTTTTTGTTTCTGTATTTAGAAAATAAAAGTACATGGTGATGAAAACCTAATAAATCAATTTACTTTGCCAAATTGAAGTCGTTGAAGGTGCAGAACTGGATTCTTCCAGAGATGCCTGGGCTTATAACTGATTTTTTAATCTCACTTGATGGTCGTTTTCTATACTTTGTGAACTGGCTTCATGGAGATGTGAGACAGTATAACATTGAAGACCCTAAAAATCCTAAGCTGACAGGCCAAATATGGGTTGGGGCAGTGACGGACCCAGGATCCGAATCCCGTAGAATCTTAGTGTAACTATTCCAAAGAAAATTTAAGAATTGGTTACTTTTCTTATCTATTTTTTCTCTTCCAAATTTTATTCCTTTTTTGGAAAAATATACTTTGAATGATTTCAATTTGTCACTTTTTTATGTAAGTTTTTGAGTGATTTCAATTTGTCAAATTTCAAACCAAACCTATGCCAATTAACCAAAAAACGTTAAAACCACAACCACCTAATCAACAAATAAGCAAAAACTTCATCCAACAAATCAAACCAATACATATAAATCATAAATTTCATCCAAGCAATTATAAATTTGATTTCCATTAAATTAAAACCAGTATACATCATCCTTATTTTGATATTAAGATTTAGAACTTACTTGAAATAAGGAATATCACAATAACAGTGGCGCCACAACATGTAGTGGACGACGGCATAACTCCGATGGCAGTGGAAATACATCGGCGACACTACAGCAGGTGGGGATTGGGGAGCTTGGGGTTAGGGTTTGAGAAAAGAATAATAGAAATTGGGAGATGGGTTTCAAGGGTTTTTGGGGTGGGAAGATTGGCTGGGTCGAGTGGGAGAGTGGAGAGATACGGAAGGGTTTTTTATTTCAAAAATTTGCTTGGGCCAAAACAAAGTCGTTTTGTTAGGGTGTTTCAAAAAATACAAAAGCGCGTTGCGCTGCTTCTTCTTCCTCTTGCACGCAGCTTCCTTTTGTACGCAACTTCCTCCCTCTTCCTCTCAAGCAAAACATCAAGCACTTGGAGGGGAATCTAAGGGGTCACACAGCCAGCTCAAGTGGACCTCCAAGCCTATTTTCATGGCTTCTATGAGGTCGTTTGACCCCAGTGACCCCACTGTGGGTTGGGGGGCTAATCCAAAAAGAAAGCTGTTAGTATGAAAATTGTATTGCCATTTCCTAGACTCTAGCATAGGTTGGGAATTAGTGTGTGATATTGTTTACTGGAAGTTTTGGCGCAACACATTCAATCCTGGATTTTTGAAGCATGACTTGATTGATATGAGAAACTTGATTTCAGGTAAATCGATCATGACATAATCATGCATTCACAATAGGATTCCTAGTTGTAGTTATTTTCAATATTATTTTGATTTAAGTTAAAATATTAGTTTTTCCTATTGTGACGTGCACGTTGCTCATCTCCTCATTAAATTGTTTTAGGAGATATTGTTTCTCTATAAAGGAGTGGTTGTTTGGATCAAAACTGATATTCATGATTGAATACTATGTTTGGATCAAAATTGATATTCATGATTGAATACTATTTGTGGTCTCCTCTTTGGCGTCTTGACTGAGAGTCCATATTGGATTAGGTTTGATAGTCATAATTGAATAGAATTAGTGGATTCTTGGGTTTCTCTCTTACTAGAGATAACTAGCTCTCGTGCCTTGCTTTTCAAAGAGACAGCTTTTGACATATTTGGTTTTGAGCATATAGAATTTTCAAGAGAAAGCTGTTGTGCATATTTTTGCGATAAGTTATCAAGTGCTCCATGTTTACTTGGTGATTTATCAAATCCTTTCATCATTCATATTGCATTCATATACATGTCGGTGACTCATACAGTTGAGGGCACCAAGACCGTGGTGGCGTTTATCCTCTGGCAATCTTGAAGCTATTGTGACCAGTATTGCGTTCAACATAAGGAGCATCAAAGATCATCCCATGACAGAAGTTGAGTTAAGAAGAAGTCGGTAAACATTATCCAGATTGCGTCTAGGATAAGTGTGTGATTCTTCTTGTAATCTTCATTCTATAGTGGATTTGTTTTGGACTGAGGAGTCCAGTGGATTTTCCCTAGAGGTGGGGTTTTACCACGTAAAATAAATATCTGTGTGTTCCTTTACTTTAAGCTCTGCACATT